CCCCCTCCTCCTCTCTCCCCCTTCCCCTTTTTTTGCCCTTCTTCTGAGTCCTCTCGTGCTTGGCGAATGAGTGTCCCAGTTTTTTCATTGGTAAGTCCCGTGGTATGGTTGAGACACTCTGTGGATGCATGGATTTCAGCAATCTCAATGCTTTATTTGTAATCTGATATGAGAATAATGCCTGCATATCTGTTTGCGGTCTGAATGGATTACTCTGTTTGCATCCAAAGGAAAAGTACCCCCCACCCCCCTCGCTTCGTTTCGCCACCTTCGCGTGATTGGCTGCCTTCGACTGGATCGGCCTTGTTTTGTTCCTCACCACAAATGGACACACGAGTGGTTTTACCCCGCCGCGTTGAAAGATCGCCCCCCGCGTTTGTTACCTTGCTCGCAGTGTGCCGACGTGGTCAGTCGGGGCAGCACGGGTATGATGTGTTGTACTCGTGCGAATCTCATGTGACACACACATGCAACACACACACACACACACACACACACACTGTGACACACACACACACACACACACACACACACACAGTGTGTCTATCTCTTGCGCATTCCCAGCAACCACACCAGCACACACCCCGATGACGGAAGCCAATAAAAATCCGGGGAAAATGCACAAATTTTTTTTTTTATAAAATGAAATCCATAGCGAAGCAACGTTTGGGGAGGAAGCAGAGTAGGGATGGATATGGAAAATGTGCGAAGCAGCTTTGGCGGGGAGAGGCCCCCCCCTCATAGCAATAGCCTGTCCAGTCAATCCCCTGGGTTCCAGGGGAATCAATGCTGGCAGGACCCCATCAAAAAAGAGATGATGTATTCAATGGGACGCTGGACCCGATTTCCAGCAGGTGCTGCTCCCCACCAATAGATGGAGCCTCCCCGACGGTGCTAGATGTGTCTGCTCTTATCAGCACACCTAGCATTCGATTGGGTTGTATTTTTGGCGGGGAAAAGGTCTGCTCCAGAGTATGCACGTCCTGCAGCAGAGGTGATCGAAGCAAAGGTAAGTGGGGGACATAGGGCATTGGTGCAAGTAAGGGAGGGGACATATCGTATGGGACATAGGGCATTGGTTCACAGCTCTACAAACATGGAAAATGAGAGTGAATCCACCCGTAGAACATGGAAAGATACATTGCCATCTTGTTTTCTTTCGTGAATGTGGACAGTTATGTTGAGAGGCCATGTGTGTCATCCACAACGGCCACGCAGGGTTTGGGACGATAGCGACCGTGAACGCCCACGCAGGCGGAGGTCATAGACCCCAGACGGCCAGGCAGGAGGAGAACAGGGAAGGTGGAGTCCGGAACTGATGGCCATGGCCACGCAGCATCCGCAGGGAGCAGTACACGCGACTGTACGGAAAACAGGTCCGAACGCCCAGAAAGCCAAACGAAAAAAAAAGAAAAAAAAAAAAAAGAAAGCCTAACGGTCAACCGTACGAAACTGTACTGCATTTGCTGGCAGCCCTCATGAATGGACTGGAAGATGTTTTTTTTTGGGGGCAAGTACGTTTGTGTCACAAACGAAGTTCAAAAGGGCAAAAAAAACACTAATGGGCAACGGAAAAATGGTCGCAGTTCGAAAAGGCAGTCATAACATCAGAAGGCGGTAACATCAGGACTAACATAAGAGGCATCAACATAGCGCAAATACTCTTGAAAATTAGCAATAGAACTTGCACCATCTTCGTACTTCTGATACGGATGTTTCTATAGAACTATACGTGTTCTACTATTATAACACATGGAGGGGTATTACGAGCATTAGAAGAAGGATAATCACATCTTTCGCAGGTATTAACAATGTCGTTAAGTATTATACAGTAAGGGAGTACAAGTAAAAATATAATGTATTATTACTCTCTGTAATATATAAAGTTTCAACACTGTAAATAAAACAGGGAGTACAAATAATTTGAAATAAAGATATAATGTACTATTAATCCCTGTAATGTATCAACTTTCAACACTGTGAATAAAATATTTATCTGCTATCATTATATATCAGTTTCTTAATCATGTCTATTGTCGTCAGTTTCAACAAAATTATTTCATGAGCACAAATACATGTACGAGTGAATTTAATAACAAAATTAATTCTCATTTACACCATTACATTATGTTTTTGTTGGTTGTTATAGCAATAGTTATCATATGCCTCACTGCATCAGCTGCATATTCAAAGTTCAGTGTTGGACAGTTCGTAGTGCATGATGTAAGAAATAATTGCATATGAGTCACTGAATACTTCTAATTAATTTCACATCAACATAAGAGTCAAATGACAAGAAGGAAAGCAACGTCGGTTACTCATGCTCTAAAACATGTTCAAATATGAAAAACCATTGTCTTCACCTTCCACGAATTGTTTTATTGAGTTCCCCATCATAAAAGACACCGCAATAAAATATAATATGTTTAGGATTTGATCATGTCTACTAATACCCAACACGAACACTTTTTTTCTCTCTCTCTCTCTCTCTCTCTCTCTCTCTCTCTCTCTCTCTCTCTCTCTCTCTCTCTCTCTCTCTCTCTCTCTCGTGACAAAATGAAATAAATATTAGTTACTCATAGCTATAAAACAGAGTCAAAAGTGAAAAGTCATCGCCACATGCCTTCCCAAACTGTTCTATTTGGTTTTTTATCATAAGAGACATTCGAATAAATTTGCCTTTACAGTTTGAAAGTGTGCTACTACCGTACTTGTTTCTTTTTTTTTTTTTCTTTTTTTTGTGGCCCTATGGACCACGGATCAGATATTAGACTGCTCAGAACCCAAAACTTTCACAAAACCTTCGGAAAAAAACGGCGCGCAGGGCATATTCAGGCTCGGCATCGATAGCTGGGCCAAGTACTGGTGGTTTAATAGTACCAGGCCTTAACTGTTTTATCTGGCGTCCTTCGGTTTTGGGTGAAGAGGTACCTATGGCAATGGAAGATCTCAACACTCAAAAAAGGGCTGCTCAGTCAATCCCCTGGGTAGCAGGGCAATCAATGCTGGCAGGCCCCACGGCCACTGTTCTCACTGTTCTCAGACAGTCACATTTCTGTATATGGGACGCTGGACCCGTTTTCCAGCAGGTGATGTTCCCCACCCATAGATGGAGCCTCTCCCCAGGTGTTAGTTGTGTCTGCTCTTATCAGCATCACTAACACTAGTGGGGGCGTGTTTAAAAAAAAAAAAAAGAAGTTTATCTCCTAAGAAAAAGAAAAGAAAAAGGCCCGCCACGTGGCTAGTCACAGAGAGAGAGAGAGAGACTAGCCCCCCGGGCCCCCGGTGCTCCACCACAACTTCGTCCTCCTCCCGCTCCTTCTCCTGCTCCTCCTCCCACTCCTCTTCCCTCTCCTTCTCCCGCTTCCCCTCCTGCTGCTCCTCCCACTCCTCCTGCAGCCCCCTGCGACGGACCGGGCAGCTTCACAACCGGGAGGCCCGTCGTATGTGACATATTTCCATGCGGAGCACCGGTCCGGGACCGTGCGGCGGGCCTCCCGTTTTCCTGCGGTCTCCAATTCGCGCCTGCCAGCTGGACCGGACCGCGCGCCATTTCGGCCCACCTGCGGTTCCGCTGCTGTCCCTCCATCGGCACACACGACAGAGGGCCCTGCCATGGTTTCTCCTGGGCCTGCGGCGGCGTGTGTCGTCGGCCCCTTTGTAACGTAAGAGTATAAAGAGTATAGAGAAACAATGGGAGAGGCCAGGGACCTCACAATTCAACCCGGAGAAAGGGGCTGGGGCCATTACGCAGCTTCAGCTGAGCTGGAAACCGGGTCCAGCATCCCACCTCTCAATCTAAAAAACTTCCCAAATTTCCTCTTTTCCTAATTGAGTCTTCTTGTGTAATGGCCAGGTCGAGTTGGCGCCAGAACGACGCTAGCCGGCGCTGGGGCAGTGCCCTGTAACCTACTTGTGTAGGAGCTTGAGGCTTTGTATAGAGGTCAGGAATTGCCGAGGGAGGAAGGCAATCTGCAAACTTGACTAATGGCTACAATCTGGCCGTCGATGGTTGGAGCTGGGGTGGGTAGCGCTGCCCTGTAACCGAGCCAGATTGGGGTGTGAGACCGGGAAGAGGCCTGATTGGTGCACAGCACGGGCTCAATTGTGATTGGTTGTTTGGAATGGATACAGGAAATTAGGGATAGGATAGTAATTCAGTGCTGAGTAGACAATCTTTCTGATTAGTCATCATCTAGCTATATTTCATGACCTCAATCAACCACTCTGACATCCTTAATCATCCAAAGTAATCCTCAATCATCCCAAATTTTCATCAATTGTCAATCATCAATGTATTCCCATTATAAGGGACG